GTTGTCACAAGGGCCCGACTGGGCTTCGAATGAGTCAGCCGCAGGACGACGCTTGAACCGACCATTTTGGAGTGCATGTGTGCAACCCAGTTGCCCGAGGGCAAAGACTGCGCGTCGCATGCGAACGTGTACCACTGCGCTGGATCGAGCGTCACTGGACGACCAAGACTGACGTTATGTAACCTGGCTTGTGGCGTCTCGCTTTAGGAGAAGTTGACCTGCAGAAACATTACCCATGTGCTGCGTTTTTGTAGTGTGATTGGGCAACTGATCGCGTGCTATAATGTGCGGAGTACTTGTGCCTCGTGGGGAGCTCACTGACGTAGGGTGACCTTGAGCAGTGAGCTAACTAGTAAGAAGGGGACAGAATGGATTGCGAACAGTTCCAGTTTTGATGGTGCTGCAAGAAACTTGCACAAGATTGTAAATGTTTGATAAGTCCGCGCATACCAGCGTGAAAACATTTCCGATAATTTAGAAATAATAATGAACAGCAATAGGCCAATTTAAAACTTCAAAGAAATATAAGAAGTAATAAGTGCTTGTTAAGAAAAAGAAAATTTTGCCTATAATCCTCAAATTCCGCAGCCGTCACAAATAGCTGTAAATTAGAACAAGAAATTTTAAACTTAATGTAAGTTGAAAACGGAATGCAACCAATTTCTTGACATAAAAAGAACTTTTCTTAAGTCAACATATTTTGTACATATTACCATTAGTGGATAACTATTTATTAAATATCTTACAAAATTATATGCCATATTTTCATCGTTTTCAGTGTCTTCATGTGGTCATTCATAAAGTCCGCTTCTGTTAGAGGTTTACATTAAAACCATTAAATTAAGATAAATCTAAAGAGCATTTACCCAAGGAAAGTATTTTTGGATATTAGTTGATATGAAGATGGCCATTTGGCTCATATGTAGAAATGCCTCAAAACGGAAAATCACATTGTCGAGCAAAAATAATGTCCGCAACGGAATTTTTATATTGTGTTCTAATTTTATTTAAGCTGACAAATTTCTATGTATATTTACTTCTTTCATGGTAACATCCCAATGAAATTGGAGATTTTTGACAATTTTCTTTAATTTACCTGAATAAAAACGACTCAATTTGACTAAATATGAAAAAAACCTACTTTTCTCTTGATAATGGATTATTTTGCGCATAAGTGGATTAATTTCACGATTTGTTATACGCTTACGGATGCAACAAATACTAGTCATGTGTATGACCATTTTTTGAAATGCTGATTACTCCACTGTCTGCTCCGTTCGTAAAAAACGTAGAAGCTGGACGTTTACTTAAAAAATCTAGATTTCTACATGAATTACATTCAATGCGACCTTCTTTAAACTACCCTCACTGAAACATACGTGGACGCTTTTATATGCGCAAGCAGAGTGGTGCAGTAAAACAAAATTCCGAGGAAAGCGTTTTTATTACTGAATTTTGTATAAGAACTTCACAGTTTAGCTAAAAATAATTTTAAAGCTTAAATTGCTGCTTGTTTCTAAAAATAAAATTTGATTCCTTAAACAAGCTTCACTTCCATTTGGACAAAATTTTCCACTTCTGGAAGGTATAGTTTTTTAAATTTTTTTCTACTTAACCTAGAATCCTTCTACAACAAAATGCATATTAATAAAAAGTTTGAACCTGTCTTACCTTAGAGCATAGGAAATATCTTCGCTATTACCCAGCTCGTGATTTCGCCAAAATTGGTGCCTATTTCACTCCCAAATTTTTACTAAGAGGGCAGTTCTCCAAACCAAAGCCTTTCTATTTATTAACTTTACTCAGTCCACACACTCCAAATAATCTGGCAAAATATATGCTTAATTATTAAGTTAAATTTCGTCATGGAAGTTTTTTCGCAATACGGTACATGTATTTTGGGTTTGCCCTGGTCGTCTTTGTTGCTGTTGCTGTTTTTCCTGTGCTCCTGGCTGCGATAGCGGCAGTGGTGGTGGCGTTTGTGTTGCGTTTGGGCACCCGCTTGACTTCAGATGGCTAACTAAGAACGAGCATGTTTTGCGGGAATCCGACAATCTAGTTTAAACAAATCTTGTGACGTATGTTGGTCAGGCAGGACGCAATGCAATTTCTTTCCAGTGCTCTGAATGCCTCAAAGAAGAAATTCAACCAAGCACTGGGTAAACGGTCGGAATAACTGTGACTCTCTTAAAATAATGTTTTCAGGAAAAATAAAAGCGAAATGATATTGGAAATTTAGATGTCCTCCAATGAGCTGACAGTAAGATGCCGCCATACCCCTCCGAGCAGCTGTCAAAATGTCAAAGTAGGAAGAGGAAAATACTTAATCAGCGCAAATCCGAACGAATCACCTAGTTAGTTATAATTAATATCGGCTTTCTGCAGAAGAAAATCATTTCTGGAATAGGAACTGAACCACATTCTCAAAACGTCAACAATACCGTAACACTGTGCCGTGGACCTACTTCGCTTTCTCGGAGATCCTAGTGCGGAAGACGAAGGTTGATAAATAGCTTAAAAGCGTGCAGACTAGTATGTATTTGGAGATTCTCGATAATTTTAGCGAAACGATTCTGTCACAGACGTTGCCTAAGGAACAAATGAGGACACAGTATT